TAAAAAAGTAGTATATTGTAGAATTATATTTACCTGCAGTATTAATGTCTAATTCTCGGTCGACTTAAAACGTAATCAGAATCCCATAGAACTAGTTCACTTAATGTAGTAAAGTGGCATTGGGAATGGTTATGTAGAGAAAAAAAATCCATTTTCGATAGATTGATCAGTATTTCCGTCTGTTCTATTGGAAAGCTTCTTATTTTGAGACAATGGTAAAATATATTTCAACCATAATTCATATAATCAGAAATTGTTTTTTCCAGAATATTCTTAAAGCTTGAAGTAAGTGTTTCAGCTAGTGTAGTTCAATTCGATTTTCATAACATTCAGGTCCAACCACTTCATTAAAGTTATTAACTAATCGTATGTTTTTATGTCTAAATTAATTTCACTTTAACATATATCAACATAATAATTTGTTTTCTACAATATATGGTTAAATACTTTTGTATAATCACAATGCGACGTTGTTAAATCTTGACTTACTATCTTCTGTCCTTTGAAAAATCATAGTTAATGCATCGAATGCCTAACATAGTTTATATTGTAGTGTTAGAATTTTAAGTAACTAAGCTAGTATGATTGTCTTATTTTTATTCTGTCTCTCTCTAAATAACAAAATTCACTCTTATTCAGGGCGTAATGATGACCCGGTGCAATTGATTCCCGCGTGCACCTCAGCTACAGCAAAAATACTCACTTCACAGGTAGGTGAATAATTTTATTTTTAAAGCCATGTATTATTTTCTATTTTTAAAAATAGAATGGAGAGTCCATTAATTTTCTTGTTATATCAACTTGTTTTGTTACTGTCATCTTGTATCATAAATTCATTAAACATTTGGTAAACTATAACAGTGGTTCTAGATATATGATTTGGCTGAACAAAATCATCCTAGACTAATTATTTTGTAGTTTGCTCAGTGCATTATTATTTTTAAGAATTGTAAATTTCTAAACTAATTGGTGTTTTTACTGCGATCACGAATGGGTCAGTGTCAGACCACCGTTGAAAACCTCATTCATGATTCCACATGCGGGAATTGAACCCAGGACCTTCTATCTCGTGCGAACGCCTAACTTCCAGACCACTTGGCCGGTATCCAACAGTGTTAATGTTTAACTTCAACTAATCCACGATATTGCATCACTATATTCTCTTGTCTTCGGTGAGTAACGGCCTCACATCCGATACGTCTCAACTCCACTGGTTGCGACTTCTCACTAGGGAAACAAAAAGTACCTCTCGAAGCTATTCACTAGTGAGCACATGATAGTTATCAGTATAGGATTGTGGAGATTGTTGTTGAGACTGAAAGTCCTGGGTTCGATTCCTGCGCACGGAATCGTGGATGTGCAATGTTGAGAAGTCCTATATTAGGATGAAACAGCCATTCAATGCTTCCAAGTTTTCACTAGTGGTCTAACCTTGATCGGTTCATGGTCTCAATAAGAAAACTTGTAGATCGACCTGGCTATTACACACTACATTTACATATAATTCTTGATAAACTATTGAAATGTACGCTTCTTGTTTAAGGTTCACATGGTGATCGTGATCTTTATAATTGGGATTAAGTAATGTAAGCCAAATTAGATCATAGGTTAGGAAATATACTTATTTTCGAAAAAAAATCTTTCTCTTAATCATGAAGGAGTTTAGTATAATTTAATATTCTGTCTTCTCTAGTTTCATCCATTCGTTCCAATGCACTAGTGTTTTAGGTTTCATTGTTACTACGGTTATTGATTAAATAAATCACACTGTTTTGGTTATTTTTACTCCTACTGTATTGTGTGGTAACTAAAACGGATATATATATATATAATGGTCTGCAACCCGGGTGGATGATCTAAACGGTGTGTTGTGTTCTTTGAGTTGGGTAGTTTGATTTCGGTACTTTCATTGCGATTCTGAACAACACCATCAATCCCTAGTTCATACAAAACTCTACTACCATATTTAAACCATTTAGCTCAGAGGACAACCACCAAAACTGATACGTGCATTTGTACCGCATCATTTTAGTGTCAACGATAGACTGGGTGATGATTGGTAATGCGTTAAACATTTCAATGAACAAAGTCATTTACTTACACAAATCTCTTCCGTATGTAGTGTGAATTACTCTGACTCATCATACACGATTATTTATGACAATATTACAGTATAATAATAGGTTTTTTATTCTTTACGTATTTTCCGATGCACCAAATGTAATATTAGGTTTACTATTCATTTCGATAAAATATACACTACTTCTGTTTTTTTTTCTTTATTGAAACTCCTTTTAAGATCAACTTGTGCCATGAATAAGTTTTGTATATAGGAATGAAGCTGTATAACATTACTATTTATTTGTAATATTCTGTTAATAGTGTTACAAATACTTCGTATTGTATTTTTATTCACATTCTGTATTGTCATGATTGAAATCTAAGTGAATTTGTTTGTCCATTGTCATTATTATATTAGTATTTTAATCTATCTAATTAAAACAGCTGTTTTATTGTAAATTTGTTCCTTTATCATGTATATATATGTATGAGATTTTTCATTTGAGGATATATGATTATCGAAGTGTTAATTATGTACTTGTGTTATGAAGTGAAGTTGATTGTTCCTTTTTTTTAAAAACGGTTTTTACACTTTCCTTTATTAAAATTCATGTTGAATCTCATCTTTAGATGTGTGTATGTGTATGTGTGTGTGTAATTCTAACGCATTATAGATTATTTTGTGTACGTATAAAGAGATTACCTTCTGCAGCTATTTTATTCGAATATTGGTTTGAAAAGATTCAACTATTGTTACCTTTTTGTCATTTAATAGTAGTAGTCTTATAATTAAGAATAGAAACGGTGTAATGTAACCTGTTTGTGTAATATTACAAACGATATTAAATAGAACTTTCATTTATACTGTAAATAACTGTTCCATTTTTTGTCTATCACAATAAATGAGTACACCATTATCTTTGTAATTTCAAATTTTTGGCTGTTTTTGGCAATCATATTCTTTCTTCGTTGGTATCTGTTAAAATGTTAAAGTTTTAAACTCTCAATGTTCTTAGTATAAGGTAATTTATCTCTGTTAATTACTCAGTTTTTCATGTGCCACTGTGTGTGCATATGTGAAGACTATTAACATTATCCGATCGCCCAAACTAAAGGCGATGAAATCGGTTTCCGACCCAGTGTATATAATAGTTAAATGTTATATTTCATCCATTGAGGCATAGAATCTTAACGACAGTTTGTTGTAATACCACATAGTTTCCTTCAATATCTCTAGTCAAATATTTTTTAGCAAGCTTGTCTAAATTATCGTGATTGTCTCTGTTTTTGAATTTTACATACTTAGGCATTCTCACCGCAAAATATATACACAGATGTTACAGTAATTATATAGTGTTCTTGTAGATGAGTTTTTGAAGTCCTTGAATGTTTTTGTATCCCAGGTGTGGGCGAGGGCAGTGAAACAAATGGAGTTAATGTACTTACATGCATCATTGTAGAAGGATAACTGTCGGACTGAAACAATTTCAAAAATTGTATTAATGTATGGTGACTTCTGTTTTCGGCACTTTATAGTATTATGTCATAAAAATCAGGATACATTCCTAAAGGATTGGTTCCATAGTATTAGGCTTCAAAAGAATACTTGTGCGGTTAAGATTTTATATAAATGAAACAAAAATGAAATTTGTCTCCAGGTTATTTAAAAATTGTTGATTTCCAGCTTGAAATTGGACGTACTTCAAACATGCTGATAGAACTTTACATTGGATAATTACGTACTTACACCTTTTGAGTATGAACCACCTACTAAGGATCTACAATCCAGCCTATCCTTAGCTCTTCTTTCCAGCTGTTCCTAAGTGCTATTTCTTTTTATGTCTGCCTACAACTCCCGATGCAATGTGTTCTTTAGTCTTCCTCTCTTCATTTTACACTGAGGATTCCAAGTTAGGTCTTGTTTTGTGGACATAGTTTAATGATTTCTGCAGTGTGTCTGGTAACGATAAGTTATATATATATATATATATATATATATATATATATATATATATATATATATATAGATAGATAGTTTTTTTATTTATAAAGAAATCGTGAATATCGTTACCCTAGTATGTTGTCAATAAAGTCATTTCAAACAGTATTAACTGAAAGCTATTCGAAGTTCACGACCATATAGCTTAATCAGTAATCTATTTCATTAAAGGGGCAGGATCAACATAACGTATGTTTTAATCATAACAAAGATTCAAGTTTTCATCGAACTCCTAAATATTACTTATTAGTATCTTTTAAACCAAAAAATAACCTGAGAGTTAAACCCTTCTAACGGATTTCTGAAAGTGCTATTCATTATTTTACTCTCTCTGAATAAGAACAAGTTGTAAAAGTATTTGTTTTTCATGCCATTAAGTCACTAACTATAAAAAGGTCGATACGAAAATTTTCTTCCCTAAATTACCTTCATTCTCCTTCAACACCACGGGTCTCTTTCGTTATTTGAAAACAACCAAGTCATTTACTGATCTAAGTCGTATTGATAGGTAAAGTTTTGTTTGAACCTACCACCTATTTTAATTGAAAACGGAGTACTTTAATTATTATGTCACTGTGCCTAGTCGCACTATTTCTTGATAGATAAAATATTACTTAATAGTGACTGTTAATAATTTTATATAGAAATTTTTTTAATTGAAATCCTCATCAATTTTCCTTGATACAATATTTCATAAAATATTTATAGAGTTTTACACACACATACACCTCTCTATACTGTAGATCTCTTCTGATTCGTATCTTATGTGTTCTCCAATCATATTATTCCTGATACATTCGATAGTTTAATAAAGAAGGGAGTTTTGTTTTGTGTTTGGATATTTTGGTTGCTTTTAATAACTAATTATTACTGTTTGTATATATATATATATATATATATATATATATATATATATATATATATATATGTAGATGTTTGTTATACCTCTTAGTTACACATCTTAGTCAGTCATAGTAGAGCGTAATAGATGGTGTTGGTTATCCCACGCAGGTGACTAGATAATAATAATTATCTGACATAATTCTTATCGTCTTGATGCCTTTTTCAACTCTGCAACACAGTTTCGTTGTAATTGCTTGCATACTACACAAAAGAATGATGTTACAATGTTGAGAAAGTGATTCTGTTTTATACTTATTTACGCCTGTTATCCCTTTGTGAAGGAGCATAGGATTCTCCATCAAACTTTATCCTGTGTTGATCCTTTCCAGTTATTTTATGTTTAAAATTTTTCATTCTATTTTGATATAATTTTATAAAAACCTTATTGTCATGCATGGAGAACAACAACAGTATCGTACAAATAATAATTCTTGTGAAAGTCAATTATTTACTTCACCATATTTCACTTGTTTCTGTTATAATGGAATTAATGTTACAACTTCTCAGTTATATCAACAAAATTCAATTAGTTCTTCTACTACAACTTGTACATCAAATCATTTTGGTTGTTCAACAACATCACCAATATCTTCTAGTAAATATGATGTAGAGTTCTTGGATTTAACGGATTTAATTGATTCAACATCAAATGTATCATATACAGATTGTTCATTTTCTGTTGATTATCCTACTGAAAAATTATTTTCATGCTCTGATATTATTGATGATGATCATGGATTTTCTCGTAATGATACCATTTCAATGTTATGGCCATCACATACAATTTCAGCATTTGTGAGTAGCTGTAGTAGTAACCTATTAATTATTTCATATTTGGGTTTTGAGAATGTTACTTCTCATGTGATCTACTCATGTGAATGATTTCAGTGTCATTGTAATTTATCATCAATGTAAATTGCCGTATAAATAATTATTTTCTGGTAACTTCTACGTTTACTACTTATAATATACATAGTTGTGCATTAGTTTCATCCGTCATAATTGTATGTGAATAAATATATCTATGGAACACACAGTGATCAAGTATTGATAAGTTTTTAAAACTGAATTTAGGTGACTTGGTCTTTAAGGTCAAATAAAGTCTACAAATTCAGCTTCTTTCCTTATGATAGTTAACGACAGTTTCATTTCCTCATGGACAATCAAATAATCAATAGCACTGAATACTATTATCATATATCCTCTTCCAGAATTCTAAAGTTTTTATGGTAGTACAACACATTAAATACGTACCATAGTTGGATTACCTGGTATTAGTTTCTAAATCTAATAAACTAGTTTCCCTAATTATTTACAATCGCAAAAGCGATGTTTCTGAGATATTATAGTTAAAAACGTCTACTTCCACTCGTCACTTCAGTGGTGACGGAATTTAATGATGCCTTCGGTTATACAAACTTGACTGAAAATATCCTTTGGATGTGTCCTGGGTGTTGCAGGCGGTTCTTGTTCTTTATAACAATCAAATTTCTTGCATTCCGACTTACGTCTTTTGGTCAGCAGTCATTTTATCACAAGGCTTGTGAAGCTCTTCTAATTAGTTAATCTGTCAATGCGTTAATCCAATGCATGAATCCGTGCATTTGGGTTATTCATTTGTATCGGAAAGACTTGTTTTCCCTTTTCAAACTACATATAAGCATAGCTAGGTCTAGCAACATAAATTATTAGCATGTAATAAATGTGGTATACAGGTAGAATTTTTGAAATTCTAACAATCATTTTAATTTTTTACAGTTTTCTTCTATGGAAAAAATTGTCTATCTACGCTTAGTCGGAAAGATCATTTATGAATAGTGAATAGAATGTTGGAAAGTAAATCCTGAATTTCATGAGACTACTATTCAGTTTAGTTCATTTACACTTACTGACTGTAACTGACTGATTGACTTTCAGCAACTTTTATGTTGCATCATCTGTGTTTTATTTGTTTAATCCAGAAATGTTCACAAATTACATTGTATTCTCTATTATCTACTTGAAAAGTTTCCTGAAATTATATTGTGAAAATAGCGTGTTAAATCTCGGCTAGCGATAGTGCGGCTTACAAAAATTTGATTCACTGACAATTCTTAGATATTTACTACTGGTATTTACTGGACAGTATTAAACCAAAAATTCATTTTTATAATAATTCGCTCCATAGAATTACTCCATATTCCTATAACTGATTCTTTATTATTAGGTCGCAAATTGTAACCATACTCCACTTTACGCAGCTGGATTGTACATGGTTACTTAGTTACACAACTGTTACTGCTATATATTGTGTCATTAAATATTTCCAGTAGGTTACCTGTGTACAAAATGTGTGTCTTTCAAGTCAGCACATTGTAAATCATCCTGAAACAGTATTAGTTGAGGATCATCAATTTATCATTCTTTTTAATTGACTTTCAATGTTTTAAATCACTTGTAAGCAAAACTTATAGAGAATAGTACATGTATGTCTATTTATTCTATTTAGTGTAAATACTTCGCTGCAACTAATAAGTTCTCACTCGGATGTCGAACCGTAATTTGTGCTACTTTATTTAGAACTCTGAAATTGCATGAAAGAAAGTAACGTAGAAGAAAACTTTAGCAATTCTATTTTATCCGTATCTTTAGAATCAACATTGTCCATAATTGTTTGAGGTACTGTAACATTAGATAAAGCCACAGTAACTCAAACTTATGGATTAATTACATTTAATTCTATTGTGTTTTTCCCATTAAAACGTACTACCCTTATTTTTTTGAATATCAGTTAGCTGATTTTGAAGCGATTTGAAGTAAAAAGCTTTTAATTTATTAGAAACTGTAAACTCGTATGATAGCGTCTATTAATGTTTCTTTTTCATTCAATAAACTGTATATCACCATTTGTTTACGAATATCATGTTTAGGCGGTTTAATAAACCTCATGAAAATAGTGAATTGTTGGATTTAGTTTGAATATTGTAGAGCCAATAATGTTTTATGTTTGTTGTTGTTGGAATAAATTAATCTTGGTATCATACTTATCGTAGTTTTCCTGGTTAATCATATCGAGTTTCATCTCTGGTGGTTATTTTTTGATTATTTTTAAGCACCGGAGATCAAGATATGATTGTACAGTTGTTTTAACGCCTTTTTAATCTGAATTAATGACTGGTTATGGCACTTGACAGTTAAAATACTCAAATTATATATTTGAACTTTGCTTCTATGGTATCAATATCTTCCACAGAAAGTGTGGCACGCAACTGAAAACACAAACATCATCAAGCATACTTTTCTATTGAACTAAAAATCCCCTGATGTACAGTCCATGTTTTATATGGTAAAAAATAGACTTTTTTATAACAGGGATGCTATAACGTAGTTTGTACAAGCTTGAACTGTTAAATCCCGTAATAGTTCAGCATGGGAATCACTTACTTTAGACTCGTAATATTCACGGTTTCGATTCTAGGGAACGGTAGGATTTAAAAAGAAATCGCAGCAGTATCCCAACCAGAAGGTCGTGATGGACCAACAGATTCTAGTCCTGTACAGTTTTCTTTCAGACCATGACACTGATTATGAAGGCAATACCTTATTCACTCTCTATTATCATCTATTCAAACAGCCATTGGAAGTTTCATGGAATACATTAATTGTGGCAAGCAATAAAATGCAAGGTGTGCATTTCGTTTCTTTTGGGACTCATTTTGCTTCGGTTTGGGCACCCGGGCAGTATCACAGCCCTCACACAAATCAAATGAGATTTGTGTGGCGCATATGTATCTGGTGCCCGCTTGTACCAATATCTATGTGTTCAAATAAATAAATAAAAATTTGGGACTCATTAGTTGGATGTAACTACACCGGAGTCGATGTTCACCCAGTACCCTTATATTCAAACATCCGTGTTATCCACTACGCTACTGAGTTGAGATAGCCACTAGCTTGTTTCTTGAACATAAAGTTGGAATCTCAGAGTGAACATCAACTCTGAGATGCAGGTACACCTAGCCGTTGAGTTCGAAATAAGACAAAACTTACATCCTCGATTTTACTGCTATCCACATGCATATCGGCGTTCGACGATGATAGTTTTTCCTGACTTAAAAGCAGCATTTGACTCTGTAGACCGCGAGAGGTTCTGTGGCAGCCTCTGTCATTGAAAGGTGTACTTCAGAAGTATATAAAATTTGTCAAGGCTCTTTATTCGAACACCACCAGTCGAGTCAGAGCTTATGGCGAACTGTCATCTCACTTTGCAACTCCACTTGGTGTCCCACAAGACTGTCCAGTTTATCCATTTCTGTTTAATTTCATCATAGACCTACTGCTGGAAATAACATTCTCATCGTCTGAATTTTCAGGAATTAATCTTCTTCCAGGAGGTCCACTTATCAACTTAGAATACGCAGGTGACATAGTCCTGTTTGGTGAATACGCTGGTAAAATGTAGTGTCTTTTGGTAGCAATGACCAACAATGCCAGACTGTTTGGGATGCGTTTCTCCCCCTCTAAATGCAAGTTGTTGCTCTAGGACTGAACTGCGCCAACACCTGAACTAAGGATGGGGAGTGAAGCAGTCGAACGTGTCGACAACTTCACTTATCTTGGAAGTCTGATCAGCCCTAATGGGTTGGTGTCTGATGAAATCTCACTACGGATTCAGAAAGTTCGTTTGACTTTTGCCAACTTATGTCACCTACGGCGAGGGTGACAAGTATACTGCGCAGAAGTTCGTTCTGTTCTTCTTTACGGCTGTGAGACGTGGTCATTAAGAGTAGAAGCTACTAGTATTTGATCACAGATGTCTTATAAATATTGCTCGCATCTGCTGGAATCACCAGGTAAGTAATAGGAGATTAGACACAGGGTATTAAGGAATGACGGTAAATCAGTTGATGAGATTGTAGATCCTCATCGATTGGTATGGTTTGGTTAAGTGTTACGTATGCCTGAACACTGATTACCACGACGTGCAGTGCTGACTAGTGTTGAGGATGGTTAGAAGGAAGTTAGGGGTGACCAAACCAAAACGTGGCATCAGTGCTTGAAGTCACTAACTTTTAGTCTAAGCCATGTTGGTAAATGCATACTACTTGGTTGGGTTCCGCGTGGCTATCGTCACCAATAGTTGGAGACTGGGTGACATGGCTCAGAATCGATCACAATAACGTAGGTGTATACACTGTCTGCCTTCCTTTAGGTGGTGAGATTAGAATTACCCTATACCTTTTTGTTTATGAACTAATCCTTTCTTCCTTATACACGATTATTCTTTTATTTATTACCACCATTGAAGTAACTACCTCTATGAATTTGGTGTTGATCTTGTTGTGCTAATGAGGTATGGCAACTTGGACTGATGCATGTATGTGCCTGGTTCTACGTTGTAGCTGACTGACTGCTATTTCACAAAAACTTGTCTTTATGTCTTTATCAAAGCAATTCACACAAATGTCAATTAAGATTGATCAAAATTCAGTCAAAAAAATATCAACATCAGAAGAGTCCAAACTATTATCAGTTGAATGATAATTGGAATAAATTTACTTCAAATGTATTTATTTCACAAAATTAGAAGAAAAATTTAAAAAGCCACTTTTTTGTTTCTTTTGAATTATGTTTTCCATTTTTATTGAAACCATAAACCGATCAATGTTAGACTACCATTGAAAACCTGTTTGCACTGGACGGTCATTTTTTCCTAGTTCGGGACTCCTCAGTAGTACACATCCACGATCCCGCACGCCGGACTCGAACCCAGGGTCTTAGGTTTCGCACAAATGCTTAACCTACAGGTTTTCACT